ACTGAGGAAGAGTCAGCCTTAGATCTTCGTTCAGGTTTCTCAGTCCAGAGTCTGCACCACGTCCTAGGGACCTGCCTTCCTTCATCGGGATTTCTTGAGGTACCTGGACACAGGAGTCTCTCATTTCCATGGAAAATTGTAGGTTGCTTTATGAGAACCCTGAATGCCCAGCAGCCAACAAGCTTAGGTATGAGGCCTGGTAATTCAGTGGGCTGCATGCTGTAGGCTCTAGGACCCAGCAGACACATGTCAGTAATAACAATATCATACGCCACTGAACCCAAGGAACCACTGATTCCAATAGGGTACTATTATTTTATGTCAGGCTAAAAAGACTGGAGATTTGGCCCAGCAAGTAGGAGGGCATACTGTTCTTGGAGAGGGCCTGAGCTGGGTCCCCAGCACCCATATCAGGTGGCTCACACCACCTGTAACTCCAGCTCCAGAGGATCCAGTGCCCTTTTCTGGACTCTGTGGGCACCTGTACTCACATGCACATACCAATACCACCCCCTCAACACACACTCTTTAGCAATAATAAAGTAACATTTTTAAAGAGAGAAAATTCTGGTACTGAAATCATACATACAGGCCCTATGGACCCAATATTGAAGGTGATTTAAGAGGACAGATTGAACCCAGGAGTTTGAAATCAGTCTGGGCAACATAGTAAGATCCTCTCTCACACATAGAAACCAAAATCCAAAATCCAACCAAATCAAACAACCACAACAAATTCATGCTATCCATTGTCACAAGCATACTGATTTCAGAGGGGGCTAAAATGGGAGGAATATACGTCAAAGAATCAACGAACTAGAATAGCAATGAAAGCAGCAATTAAATTATGATCTATTTACTGATTACTTGCAGTCTTCCTATATATGGTTTTATTAAAGTTCTTGCCAAAAGTATTCACTAGTACCCACCAAGTGCAGATACTGCGCAGACATCAGGGTTACCAAGATCTAAGCTGAGCCTTTGAGGAGCTCTGATCTGGCCCTGGATGCTCTGACCCAGAGCAGGTCAGCAGACAGAGTAGGACGATGTGTGGATGGTGGGGTAAAGACAGCACCAGGACCACTGTGCAGAAGGGGTTTGCTGAGGAAGTGCCGTCAAGAGGAAGGGAAACAGCCGTGAAGCGAGGTCTGATGGTGCAGCTGGAGCCCACAGGCAGCCCTGCAGCACGCACCGACTGCCACCCACACGCTAGTCAGTCCCGCCAGAGGCTCCTTTGGTGGGACGGTGGTAAAACCCTTTACCCAGCGTTCAGTTGCCAGCCTGGTGAAATGGGAGAGCTCTGACAGCATGTGCATGCATCGGCTTCCCTTGCTTGGGGGAATGCAGGAAGGCTTCCTAGAAGCGCTGCCGGCGCCGGTCTGCCGGGACACCTGGGCACAGGTTACCTGCAGAAGAAGGCCGAAGAGGGAGTGAGGAGGAGGCGGCATCTGGGGAACCTCAGGTCGTCTGTCTGTGAGGACCTGGGGCTGGGAAGTTGGATGGGGTTAATGGCGGTTCTGAGAACGTGAGTGTCTTAACAGCCTGGTTCACAGCCCCAGCTTTATGCAGGAGGTGGTAGGAACTACTAAGGAATAGGCACTCTGCTGGCTTGTGGATCATACAGCATGTGTGGCCAGAGCAAAGAGATCAGTTAAGGAGACGAGGAAAATGACAGCCACCACGAATCAAAAGACCTAGTGTGGGCCAGACATTTAAAACTCACTCTCTCATCCACACTTTGCAGACAGAGTGCTTAAGTAGCCTGCTCAAGGTCATCAGGCTAGTATGAGCCAGGATTTGGACTCAGGTCTTAACCTGTGTTTTTAACCTGGATTACTCCCCCGTGACTATGAATTTTGGATTCCAGTCCATGACTTATCAATATTTGTTTTTATTTTAAAGCATGCTCCATTGCACACATTGGATCTCTGGGGATCCCCTTTCTTCCTGGCTCACTGCAGTGATGAGGAGAAGCTGAGTTCCAGCCAACAGCCAGTAAGGGAGTCAGTCTGTCCCAGGGCTGGTTCTGCAGTGGGTCTGGGACTGTGCTGAAATGAGGTATCCGGGAAGCTGGCAGCTCTTACCCCTTGAAGAAAGGGTGTCTCTGTCCCTCGGCTCTGCCCGCCAGCCCTCCCTGGCTGCCACACCTGTTTTGTTCCTCCCCCTGCACCCAGCCAGACGTCTCTCCCGGAGTGACAGCAGCGTCTGTAGAAGCTCCCTTTCAGGGCTGACAAAGGCACTCAGAACCTGGCGAGGCCTGCAGGGGAGGGGCAGGTGGGAAGTACCCCGGGCTGCAGACAGCTGGGGGCTGATGTGGCAGGCATTCATTCCCCAGAACAGGTGAAGGAACGGGGAGCCAAGGCGGAGGGGTCCCTGGTTCTCGGGGGGGGGGGGGGTAAATGGGATCAAAGTGCAGGGGCTTCTCAGCTTATTTTCATGACTGGGTTGGTTTTAAGCTGTCCACTCCTTGAAGGAAGGACCTGGTAAGGCCTGAGGAGAAGACACAGCCGTCAGAGGGCCGTCCCTAATCCACCCAAGCTCTCAGTGTGGTGGAAGGTACAGTGGAAAGGATACAAGAGGCATGAGGTGGGGGCAGCCTTGGAGGGATATCTCGGATAAGACGCCAGATTGATGCTGGAAATAGTCCCTCTGCTGGAGCCCAGCAGAGGCTCTTCCCGGGGCCAGTGGGGCCACTTTGGGTGGGAGTGTGTGTAAGGATGTTTCCTGGGATTAGGTTCTTGAAAGGGGGAAGGTATTGGGGAGGAATAAACACAGAGAAATAAGTTATAACCCCTTAGAACACAGCTGAGTTGTTATAGGCAAAACACAACACAACAACAAAAAACTCCAAGAAGGCTCTCGAAGACCGTCCCAAGATTGCACAGTAGATTTATTTTAGACAGGATCCAGACTCGGTCCTGCTTTCCTATCCTTTCCCACAACTTTCTCTCTCTTTTCTTGTAACTCTAGGCAAGGAGGTCCTAAAGATAGCATCTTTATTTTGCAAAGGGAACTAACAGTGGAGACATAAGGAACCTGGCTAGACTTTCGGTGTCCTCGATAGTGTCTGTGCCCCCAGTAAGGGGCACTGACACCCCACGTGTGTACTGACTTCCGTGGAGAAGGGAAGAACGGGGAAGGAACAAGTATGCAAACTTGGGGGCCGGGGAGAAGAAACCCGTTTTTAAACAGTATTTGTATGTAGCTCAGGCTGCCCCTGAACTCCTGGTCTTCCTGCCTCTTCCTCCTGAGTCCTGGGGTTACAGGAGTGTGCTCCTTCTCCTCCTCCCCATCCCTTTCCTCCCCAGCTTCCTCCCCTAGCATCTAAGTGCAAGGCCTCATGCACTGAGCTACAGCCCTGCCCTAAAACTCCCCATTATTTCGTAGTGGACAATGCCAACAGGAAGTTAATGGGGGTAGATAGGTGGGTAATAAGACCCTGGGCTTCTTGGAAGACCCTCCTCATTCTTTCTAATATTTACTGTGATTTAATTCATGTACCATAAAATTCACCCTTGGAAGATTTAAAAAAAAAATTTGATTTGTATGAACGTTTTTGTGTGAGTGTGTGTGTGTGTGTGTGTGTGTGTGTGTGTGTGTGTGTCTGTGTGCACCAGATGAGTGCCTTGGGCCTGTGGTGTCAGATCCTTTGGAACTGGAATTACGGATGGTTGTGAGCCACCATGTGGGTGCTGGGAACTGAACCCAGGTCCTCTGCAAGAGCAACAAGTGCTCTTAATTGCTGAGCCACCTCTCCAGCCTCACCCTGTCCCCTCCCCTAAAGAGGTTACTGGGCTGGACATAGGTGATGGCCACCCAGGGGAGTGCTGTCTTCCTCTGAGCTGTCATGAGAGTTGACATCATCTCAGGAAACCTCCGTAAGGCAACACTCTGCCCTGAGATGGACTCGGAGCTGGGAATCCAGTTCAGGATGCTTGGCTTCCTGGAGTGTTTCTTAGCAGATACACAGGGACCTAGAGTTCTGTATTCCTCTCTCCCCCGGGGTTTGGGAAGAAGTGGGGTGGTAGAAAAAAATGGCATTCTCTAGGTAAAGTCTCAGGAACCCCTCCCTTGCTCCCCAGCCCCCCAACTCTAAAAGGTTACCTTCTTGGTTGCCCTAGAGGCTGGTAGGAGGGACTGGAGAGCTAACACCAAAACTTGCACTTCACAAGTGATTCTGCTTTGTCATATCTGCAGGAAGACTGACCTCCAAGGCTTTCCCAGAAAGCCTGTAGCTCCCTCAGTACCACCCCATTTGCTTGGTGGGAGGTCGGCTTCTGCCATGAAAAGGCACACACCCCCTTTCTGAGGTGGCCCAAATGTAGAAGTTTAGCTCAGTGAAGCAGCGTGCTGCTCAGGGCGAGTGGCTGCCTGAGGGCCACTGACTTCTTGTGCCTCCTGCTCCCCCCCACCCCCCCACCCCCCGCCATGCGACTTCTGGGACAGGCCCAGCAGTTTGTGGGGGGCGGGAGGGGGGGAGGAAGTCCTCTGAGACCAGGCTGAGCAAATGCTCTTTGCTGTGGCTCCCACTGATTCCCAGGAGGTTGGAACCTGGCACCATGGTGGCAGACTCTTCTAGGAATGTGCTCCCCAGTTCGGTCATTTTGGGAGATGTCCCAGGACTAGTTTGGACTCTCTTTCAGGGGCTTCCTCTGGGCTGGCCCTGGTTAACTGCAGGGGCTGAGCTCTCAGGAAGTTCAACATGGCTGCAGGTTTAATGAAGGACCTGGAAATCGTGGACCCTGGAGACCAAGTGGGTTGTGTGGGGGACTGTGGGAGTCCCACCTTTTCTAGGGTTCTTTGGAGGAGGAGAGAGGAATAAGAAAATATTAGATAGAATGATAGGCCTAGAGGATAAGAGGAAAGACAGAAACACAGGTAGCTTTGGGAGGGTCTGGATCAATACCCAGCAGCCTCAAAGGTTTATTCAGAGGCTTTTTATAACATGCCAAGGAGAGAGGCAAAAGACTTCCCCCCCTTGCTAGATCAAAGCACTCCGTACAGCCAAGTGTGGACCCTTCCAAACACCTGGTATAAACATGCCTGTGGTCAAATCATCCCCTTATGCAGCCCTGTTGGGTAAAGCAAGCTCAGATTCTCAGACCCTGAGTAATTTGAGCCTCCACAGGGTTGCTCTTGTTTTTCTCACCTAGATGAACTGCCACAGGGACAAAGAGACCTGCAAAGGGAAAAACCAAAATGGCTTTTAGATCCAGCCTCTGCCAGGAGCACCGACCGTCTAGCTTTTACCTGGGGGGGACCTTGTACCTGAGTACCCCAGTCCCTCAATGGGTCAGTGACCTACTCTTTGGGAGCCGAGGAAGAGAGGGGATAGATTATTGGGTTACCCTGTGACTTTATGCAAAGGCATGCAAGCTCTCTGAGCCTGTGTTCCCATCTGGTGAATGAAGAGTGTTAAAATATTCTCACACAGCTGTTCAGTCGCTGCACAGGGAAGTGTTTGGAGACTTGTCTTAGTGGATGCTAAACTGGGGAGTCTGGACTTTTCCTTGTAGAAAGGGGTTTCCCAGGCTCCTCCATTCATTTTTCACAATCACAGAATCACGGATCTTAAACCGGAAGAGACTTTTAAGAGGTCGTCTGGTCTAGTCCCCTGGCATACTTACTGGTATTTTGTAGCTAAAATTCTTTGACCTGTTTGTCACGATGTAGGACAAGTAAGCCCTTGTCCTCTGGGGAAGGAGTGCCTTCCAGGTGCAGGTGCACAAAGGTAGCCGTGAAGCCAGCAAAGAGGTGGAAGAGGATGGATAGGAAGCCATGCCGCTTAGGTCTTGCAAGTGCCTGTGAAGAAGAAGGTTCCCTGTTGGACATCCGTGTCCTCCACTCTTTAGGTAAAGTGAAGGCCCCAGGCCCAGCAATCTCAGCGTGAGAATTCTGCTGCCCTCCCACTGCTGAGACAGGAAGGGATGTACCTGACACCCATCCCAGGGGAAAGTGTCTCTCAGAACACAGTGTGTTCCTCCGTGGTGTTTCCTTTGGAGGAAAAACCTTCTGACTCATCTTAAGAAGCAGCAACATCCAAACAGCAAAATACACCTGACTTTCCCTCAGCTCTGGAAGACCTCTTGAGTTTCCCATCATCCACCAATCGGGGAAAGATGGCATCACGTGCTAAGACCAGAAAATTATGTTTAAGGAAGGCAAGGGGGAGAAGAGACAGGGATGTGGCCTAGAGTCAACGCTGCCCACCTTAGGCCTGAGCTGTGAGAATTCAACCCAGGAGCTTTTCACCGCCTAAGTAAGGGTCACATGAGTCCCTTATAGGGACAGGGCTGGTTTCTCTATAACCTTCACATCAGGGTCAGGCTGGTTGGCTTAGAAATCGAAACTCAGCAAGGCTGTTAATAAAGTGCCTGGGAGAGGATTGTGCATGCTTTACCGTCTCCAAAGCCACAGTTTTCTTTGTGGAGGAAAGCGACTTGTGCCCTCTCCACCATGACACACACACACACACACACACACACACACACACACACACACACACACACACACTTTCCTGGCAGGCTGCATGGGTTTCCAAACATTTCGTCACTGTCTCCTCCTGACCTTGGTGTGCAAGGAACAAGCCGCGTGGCCTGTTGATTACCGAAGAGCCATGGGGATTCTGTGTGTGTGTGTGTGTGTGTGTGTGTGTGTGTGTGTGTGTGTGTGTGTGTGCGTGCGTGTGTGTGTGCGCGTGTGTACTCAGGCCTAGGCTTGGGGTGGAGGGTGGCCGCAGCCTTGCAAGTGGAGGTGAGGTCTGCTGGAAATCCCCAGCCCCGGCAGCCGCCGGAGGTTTAAAGACGCCTCCCCGGCCTTATTTGGTCGCAGGAAGTGGGCGGCGCGGAGCCTGCGGGCGGAGAGGCCGCCCAGAGACAGTTGTGCTGATGAAGTGGTAGAGCTGGTTCCTGCTCGCCGCCGTGCCGCGCGCCGGCCAGCCACTGGGCGCTCGGCGCTCTCAGCCCTCGAGTTGTGCAATCCTTTGTAGCACGCCAGCGAGTCCTCCTCCTTCGCTCTTGCCTCTCTCTCGCCCTCTCTCTCTCTCTCTCTCCTTTTTTTTTTTTTCATGCTGTGAGCTCAACCGATGAGTCAGAGTCGTGCAATCCTGACACTGCATCGCAGGACTGGGGGTGACACGCAGGGAGGGAGAGCGCTCTCGAGGTGGACTGGAAGGGCGCGGGGCGCGCCGAGGCTGCCGTGTCGCGAGCAGCGGGTGACAGCACGCACGTCCCGCCCGGGCCCTGCCAGCAAACTTCCCAGCTTCGGGAGGAGCGGGCTTTGGCGAGAGCCCTGCGAACGCCGCGGGGAAGGCGACGGCGCCTGTTTGTTTTTAAAATCCGGGAGTGCGTGCAAGCGGCCGGGCTCCTCGGAGGCGACCCAAGGCGGCGGCCCGCGGCGGAAGGAAGGGAGACTGCTGAGGCCGGAGGCCGGGCGGGAGCTGGGTAAGTGGTGTGTTGCTCCGGGGACGGTCGAGGCCTGCCGGCGGCGCGGCCAGCCAGGGGACCCCCGGGGGCGACCGTGCAGGAGGTGGCTGCAGCTCTGCACGCGCGGGGGCCTCCGGCAGCCCAACTTCG